TTTCTTTTTATAAAAGACGTTATTATGCCTCTTTGCTTTTTCTTTGTTTTATTTTTTTTCTTACAAGTCTTATTTTCGTTTTCATTAACCCTTTCCCTTTTTCTTCCCTTTTCGTCATATTAGAAGTCTTTTTCTTCTTTTTCCATCATATTAGAAGTCTTTTTTTCCTTTCCATTTTCACCATATCTTTTCCACTAGTCCTTGATCTTTTAGTGACATTTGATTTGTTGCGATAGGGTCTATATTTTTCTTCTCATTTCAGCTAACCCCTCCCCTCTATACCATTTTGTGTAAATGATACATGTCAAATTTTCCTTCCCTAGTTTTGTATCTGAATAGTTTTCCCGATAGTTGATGGAATTAATGATGGACTCAATGATAAAAATATGATGATGCAAAAGAGGGTAAACATATATTACTGATGAAATTAAGGTACAAAGAAGAAAATAGGAGAAAAGAACAAGTGGAAGTAAATTCGAAATAAAGCAAAATGCGAGTAGGGCGGGAAAACATCTTTTATGAATCGGGATCAACTTGAAGACAAATACATAAAAGGGAAAAAGAAATAAAAAACAAGCAAAAGGTTAAAAAAACTATCGAAGGCATAAATTTTACAAAAAAAAAAACTCTCTTATAGAGCGGAAAATGGGATTCATAAAATAACAAGAAGATGAAAAGGGGAAAACAGTCAAGAGGATAAAAAATAAAGAGTTGATTTTGTTAAACATGGGAGAAAAGAGATAAGTGAAAGGTGGTCTTTTTTGTTTAATGTTTTTTAATGAAAAATTAAAAACTGGAACAACAAATCATCAATTGGTCAAGGACGAGTGAAATAAAATAGGTGCAAATGTGGGATTATTTTTAAATTACGATTACGATTACGTGGAGATATTATTCTGAGAAGATAAGGAAAATTGAGTTTATTATTTTCCATTTTTTGAATAACAAAAAGATACGCTCAGGAAATATCAAGCATTAAAAGCTATATCTGTAATATTTGTGATCTCACTACTATGCTTATCTCGGTTAAATTTCGAATATGTAGTTTTTTTTAAATATATATTATCTGTCATCAATTAAAATTTCCATTGAATCTTTCCTTAAATTCAAACTACCAATAGTTCTGTAAATGAAGAAATTTTTAATGATGCCACGATCGTAATATAGAGTTGCTTGTTTAGCATTTTATTTTTTGCAACTGTATTCCTCTTGCTCATTAGTCATTATGGCTTTTCGTTTGCTGTTTGTGACCAGGCTGTGGGCGCAAAAGTGGTGTTAAAGTGCGATCTTGAAACCAAGCACATCTATTGATCTCTGTTTGTGTTGTGATTTTGTAAAACCTAAGAGTACACACACCTACTGAGCTTGAGTTACTACTTACTAGTTTAGCAGTTCAGTTTTTTATTTTAAGTATGGTACACTAGCTTGAGTTACCCGTACACATAATGTCATTGTTTTGCGTATAATTTGTTCCAATGATTTTATTATTTGTAGTACGGGTCTTTTAACAAATTAACTCCTCGTGATACGATATATTAGTTATAAAATTGAACATTAGGTTTAAGGGTGTCCAATGTATTGTCATGAATCGGACAAGATGATTCTTATACTTATTAGATGTGGGAAGAAATAGAGTGATTAATGGTTATGAAAGAGTACGTGTTGAGACAGAACTCAATAGAGATAATTCCCTCAATAGTCAATACTCAATAGGAGTAAAACATGTTAGAAAAAAGGCTAAAGGGTCAAATGGACCCTTAAACTAACTTAAAGTATTCAATTAGCCCCTTATATAGGAAGTTCTGCCTGGCTGTCGCCAATTGGGCTGGTTCCCGGTGGAATTTTTTTGAGCATCTTCTTCATTAAGTCTAGTTTACCCATACCAAATTTCAGCTAAAAATTCAATCGGGAAGGCAGTCAAATGATTTTTTAAAGATAACTGCGCAGTTAAACAGCGTAGTACATTTTGGAAAATCATTTGACTGCCTTCCTGATTTAATTTTTTTAGCTGAAAATTGATATGGGTAAACTAGACTTAATGAAGAAGATGCTCAAAAAATTTCATCAAAAAATTCCACCGGGAACCGCCCCAATTGGCGACGGCCGGGCAGAACCTCCTAAATAAGGGGCTAATTGAACACTTTAAGTTAGTTCAAGGGTCTATTTGACCCTTTAGCCGAGAAAAAAGGTATAAATGTTTAAAATTTTCTAAATTGGAGTTTTTCATGCTTGGAAAAGAATATCCTTGTTGGGTTGGGCCAGCCACCACATTGCTGCCAGACCCTGTCTGCCAGTGCCGCTGCCAGAACTCTGCCTCCGGTTGCTGCTGCCATCAGAACTCCGACATAGGATTGCCTGTCAGTTGCCGAAACTCCACTGCTAGTTGTTGCTGGTCTCTGTCGCGTTCCATACCGCCTTTAGGCTGTCCGCAAACCTTAGGGTGAAAAGCCATTTTTTATCCTTTCGCCCCAATATATGTGGCAACTTGCAACCCAATGTATTCCTTGGTGCCAATCAGGTTGGATAGCCCTAGCCCCTAGGAGTGGACCGGGCGGTCGGGCCCGGTCCGGTTCCGGTTCAGGCCTATGCTCGGCCGGGCCTGGATGGTTTTGGGTAAGGCCCGGAACCGGCCCTGGAGTCTACGGTTCCGGGCCGGTTCCGATCCATTTTTTTTGTGTTTTCTTATTTATTTCAACCCCCAACCCCCCACATCCCCCCAAACCCCTCGGAAACACCCAACCCTGCGCACCTAAACCCAAACCCAAAAAAACAAAAACAAAAAGGCCCGAACCGGGCCCGGACCGGCCGGGCCGGTTCGCCTTTTTCGAGACCCGGAACCGGAACCGGTTACCCCCTCGGGTCGGGCCTAGGCCCGGAACCGGAACCGGTTTCCTGGGCCTGGTCCGGTTGGCCCGGAACCAGTCCACCCCTAGATATCCCTGAGGGAGTGGCTATTCCGCAGCTTATTCACTGGAGCTACGAAATTATTGCAGCAATACCTCGCGCATGGCATTCACTAGAACTAGAAAAATTAAAAACCCCAAATATCTTATAGTATGTCTTATAACTTATGTATTTGTACTTCAAATTTTATAAAAGCATATCAAATTTCATAATTTTTTATGACCTTTCATATGACACAAATATCATATATATAAAGTTTAAAAAATAAAAATAAGAAATTTCATCAATTGGAGATTTTTATGTTTATTTATTTTCAAGTAGATACAAGTGCTAAAATTACGGTTTCGTGATAAAAACAATTTTTTTACTATCTTTTTTTTCAAATATTGGTATAAATTAACAATAAAAAAGTTAAACTCCAAATTTATTTATTTTTTACATCGAAATGTTCGTCTTTTAATGTCATAATTATTCGCAAAAAATGATTAACAAAAAATTAATTTATACTACGTAATATAAAAGGAAGGCTTTGATTAAAGAAAAACTTTGATGGCTGAATATATTGACGGTGCAGGATTGCAGTAAAAATTGAATTGACAGACTGAATACGTATAATTTGGTGGGAAATTTAATTTATTGACGGAACCGGGTTGCAGTTAGCCTTACACTATAATCATAATATAATTGGTTAACCAAAAAACCACTTAAACAATAAACAACTAAAAATTGTTGTCTCGTACAATTAAGCTGTTACGGTTCAGTTCGGAAACTCCGTATATATAGTACTAACACAGTAGAGTATTTCTGAATTGAAATTGAATTGTACCTAAACTGATATTAAAAGGTAAATGAATATTAGTCATACAAAACTTTTTTAAAAGGAAATGAGAAGATTTTTTTGGGACATTCCAAAAATGATAAGTGGGAAGAATTTTATGGAACGGACTAATGGAGAAACTAATTCTTTTTAAAGTCAATCAATTTTGTAATATATAATTAATTATCCACATAAATATTGTACATAATTTCAAATTTATTGTTGTCTTTTAATATAATCCCAAAATTCTATATTTTAGTAAAATAATCAATTGATTTTAAAGATAATTGCTCATTGTAGGACTAAATTATACTCATGTGCCGCTAAGATTTTCCATTTTTACTTTTAGGAAAATCATTGTCTCATACCAAATTTGGTAGAATTTGTGTGACCCTAAATCGTTTTTACTTTGTTTTTATTTTTCAATTCAAAATCAACCACAAAAACTCACATTTCTTAATAATCGTGTTAACCCCTACGCTAGAAACTCACCTTTCCCCTACGCTAGAAATCTGCAACGAAACTCTTCTCTGGTCCATTGCGCCTCAGCCACAGTTCTCTTGCTTCGTCCCCTGTGAAGGACTGTTTTCCCAGAGCTTTTTTTCCCTCTTCGCCATGGACAGAAAGGGCCCAAATGGAAGCTGGATCCTCGGCACTCCATCATCGCCGCATGCCTCATCATTGATGGATACTTTCCCTTGATCCTGGTAGCCGGTGGCCGTTTTCTCGCCGGCCGTAGTGCCGGGCCTGCCGGCTGAGTGGAAATAATGGCCAGTAAGACAGCTGCTTTTGGACGGAACACTATGTTAAGGATATATTAGGAATTAGTAAAATACGGTGGTTGTACTAAGTAAATTGGGGGCTGTGTATAGACCCAAATTAAATTGGAGTTGTTTATCAGCTTTTGACCGCTAGCTCGATGCCTCTCGTTTGCAACTTCGAGAACGTTAATTCTCTCGTTTCCAAATTCCATTATCCTAGATAAGTATGAATATTAATAAATAAGGTGTTGTCTTTAATTAGGTAATTTGACATTTATTTTGTTATAATAAAGTGTTTGAATTTTTGTTTACTTTTTAGGTAGATTCTATGGTACTCTTAAGGTACCATACCTTTGTCAACATGGACCAATAGGAATGATGTAGTTGAATTAATTAAATCTAAATTAAAAGGAATAGAATTATTTGGACCAATCAAATGCATGGTAGGTCCGTAGGTACGGTACCCCAATTTTTAAAAGGATACCGGAGTTGTCACCTATTTTTTATGGTGTTTAAGGGTCTTTTTTTACCGTTCGGCTCAAACCAAAAAATTCTTAGGATCGGCCCTGGCCGTGGCAGATTCCGGCGGAGAGTGGCAAGTGATGGTCCGACGCTTGGGGGTAGCGGTGCTCCAGGTGAAGCTATTTTTGTCCAATCAGAAATAAAATGTTCTATTAGTGGCATTTTTAAAATAGAGGATCCTATTTTAATTTTTGAGAAAATGACAACATTTTAGTGGTAAATTTTCCCTTTTTTGGTTCTCAGTACTTTTTTTTCACGTCAATAACTTTTTGTGGGATGAGTTGTGCATAAATCATTTTTTTTAGAAAAAGTCGGCTTAAATTGATATCACAACATTCAGCAGGGGAACAAGATAAAAGGACCACTTCCAACCGCCGACCCTCGAACCAGACTTAGAGCCAATCGCCTTGTAAAAAACAACATGGCTCGATGATCCTATAGTGGGTCTAAATGAGCCTAACACGGTTAAAATAGACCTTTCATCGCCCAAATCTAATGTAAGAGTTTGATCAAAATTAAAATAAATGACAACAAACCAGAACGATCAAAGAAAATAACAAAAAAGAAAATAAAATAGTGGAAATTCAGATGCACCCTAACAATTCCAGTGTGTGGTGGCTCAGGAGAAGGCCGAATCATCTCTATGATAGTTAATGCGGAATGGATTGAAGCATCAACCAGAGTATATTCCTCTTGCCCCGTCTCCCATCCATCGCGCCCACGACCCAGCCATCTCCGACGGAGCATCTACCCTTCCGGATTAGCCCTCTTGTTCGCCGCTGCTCTCCTGCCTCACCTTGTTCACATTCGGTGTCTTGGAAGCCGCCCTCATCGATTGCGAATTGAACCACACAGAATGGCGGAAGGGAGAAATCTGATTAACAATGTCCTTCAACCGTGTCTACTCAAACGATCCTGCTCGATCAAAGAAGAAGTGCCCTTGGCCTCGACCTGAAGCCCGGTGACGCCTGCACACTTGGATTGCGGCTATTCGTTGAAGGAGACGAAGCGGAGAAACTCAAAACCCTAAACGAAGGGAGACGCAATTGTCATGTTTATTTTTTCATAATCATAATCTACGGACGGAGAGAATAATAAATATTCTGTTCGTATGCATAAATCATTAAATTTTGTGCTATCATTAAACAAAAATCATATGCTATCACGTAATAATAACCATAATAATAACGGAGGTATTAAAATTTAGAGGTCAAGACAAAAGCCAGACTGAATATGACCGGAATACTCATTGGGGACTTCTATTTTGTTCCATAGCCCGCTCTTGAGTTCAAACACATAAGCCTTTTGAGGTTCCCCGTACTTGGCATTTCCGGTCACCATCAGCTGCCCATGCCACCCTGTCACAAACGACACATTAGAAACTTCACGCGGGACCCTCCCGATGACTTGGCTCGTCACGTCATCAAAAGCCACCACGTCACCATCCCGGCTCGTGAATATTCTCCCGCCGATCTCCACAAAACCTACGGAAGGAAACGTACTTTTCGCCGCGTCTGCCATTCCGTCATTTGCGCACCAACGGCCGGCGACGGCGTCTAACGTCTCGACGGTCCGTTCGAACCGTCCTTGTGTCTCCACGTGGTACCCTCCAGTGACGTGGCACTTCCCCCGGTAAAAGAAGCACGCGCATTCGTCGCGGCCGCTTGACATGTCCGGCAACGGCGCCCACACATCGGAGGCCACGTCATACGACAGAGTTGATTTTAAGGCGTTCTTGCCGTCGTCGTGCCCGCCGGCGACCACCACGACACCGTCCCTCTCCGACGCCGCGCACCCGAAGAATAGCCGTTGCTCGCCCGGCATATCCTTGCCGCGCCGCCAGGTCCCCGTTAAGAAGCTGTAGATGAAAACTGAATTCAGGACCCGGAAACTCTCCGGGTCACACCCACCCATCACTGCGAGCTCCGGCCCGACCCCGACTACTCGGCTGAACACCGGCAGCCCTTCGACCATCTCCGGTATCGGCGGCAGATCGGACCAACACCCTTTGACGGGATCCAAAAGCGTTAGCCGGTAAATCGGAGGAGAGAGCCCGCTTCTTGAACCAACAACCATCGCTTGGGCCATGGCAATGACAGGTCGGGTCCGACCCGAAGCTTTCCGGCGGTTCCTGAATTCTGCCTTCATAATCTCGTCCTTCCATTTTCTACACACAGATGTAGCAACTGGAAAGTGATCAAACGGAACCCTATTCAGACATTCAAGTCCAACTTCATTGGGAAGACCCGGAATCAGATCCATTTCCAGCAAACAGAGTAGACTAAAGCTAGAAATGTGATTTGTGAAATTCGGATTGTCGATAATAAAGATGAAAGAAGACAACATTGCATTCGCCTTTAAATAGAATAGTTTTTCCTGGCCAAATTGAGAAACAAAACTGTGTACGTATCACATTTTGGAGGATACAATCATGGTAACTCAGTTAACTCTACACCTTCACAATGTTTTGTTTCACATTTTGGAGGATACAATCATGGTACACCCGATTGTACCTTCCTCTTGGTACAGGTAATTTTGTAAATAAACCAACTTCAATCTTAGTCAGCATCCTCTTCTGCATCCATTCTCGCTCGTCATTCTCTTTCTTTTTTCTTTCCGCTGACTTTGTATATTTTTTCCTTCATTCACTGCCAATCCTGCCATCATCTTTACTTCGGCCGACATCATCTTTTGTTTCTTTCCTTCCCTGCCATCCTCGTTTCTTCAGCAGCCATCATCTTTTGTTTCTTTCCTTCCCTTCCATCATCTTTTCTTCTACAGCCATCCATTCTTATTGTTATGTTTTACTTTTGTCTTTTTGTTATGTTTTTTATTTCGTTTTCTTTTGTTTTGTCTTTTTTTTTTTACTTGTGTTGGGTCAAGGGCCCAAGCCGAGGTCCGGCCCACTAACCCCATCTTACCAGACGCACGTCCAGAGAAGAACGCAAGGCCAGCCCACAGGCCACTGTTCCTTGAGGATGGACGAGCGTCTGGGGTTGGGAGTTCGGGCCCAGCGGCTCATCCCGAAGAACGTCTATGCAGGGACAAGGAGCAGGGCCACGGGCCACCAGGGATGACGACGAACGTCCCCATGGCAAGCCTATAGTCACCGGTGGAAACCCAGTCCACATGGTGAGTATCTATCAAGGCCAGGAGACGAACAGCCGGTATCTCTTGAAGGTCACTTGGAGCGATCCGACTCACTTCCCGGGCGGACGAACGTCCCCACTGAATAGGCGGGAAACCTAGATTCTGGCGGGAAGTGCATTTAATGCTGAAGATTTGGTAGTTGGGGCACCAGCGGTCCACAGGCTGCCACGTCAGCACAGCCACCTGCCCATTGGTGGGTATAAATAGAAGCATTTATTTCATTGTAAAAGGTTGGCAACTTTCTATTCTTAGCATACTAGCTTCAGCATTCTTACTGGTAGCATTTCTAACTGCCTTGTAAGACGAACGGCCGACGTGCCTTTTTAGCAAGTAGATTGTACTTAGGGGAGTTATTACGAAGTTAATAATACCTACTTACATTGCCTGCTATTTCTTTTGTTTCCTGATCCATTTGATAGCTGTTGGCCTAGGTATCCATACACTCACTCCACTCGAAATCTTTGGGCTTACGTGTTGGGTCCAAAGGTTGAAGGAACAAACCTCAACACTGGCGCCGTCTGTGGGAAACTGAACAAAAAGTTTCCGGAAACTCTCCCAAACAGCTACTAATTCTCCCTACAGCAAACACGATGTCAGGAAGCAACAACCAGCGTGATCTCTCCGAGCGTCTGGAATCAAGCCGCCGGAATCGCGGCCAGAACTCGGAACTGTCCGCAACGATATGGACCTCCGGGGGAAACGGGGGCCTCACTGACCTCATTCCCCTTGAGGCCAGGCAGGATCCCCGCCTCATGCGGGAACTCGCTGACACCATGCGCCGTTTGGCAGACGAACGGGAGGCCCGAGAGCAGGTGTACTCAGCAAGCACCCAGCGAACGCCCCTCTCTCCCATTCGCCGCATGCAGTCGTACGATGATACGACGGGATCCAGCGACCACCGGCCCTCAGTCCATGAGCGGCTAGGCGGAGGTTCAGGCTCCCGTGAAACGGGAGGGCGAACCAGGGTCAGCATCGCTGCGTCCAGGGCTCACACGCCATCGGTTCCCCGCCAAGTCCCGCGGGGAGACGAAACCCCAAGGATCAACACCGTTGGACGACGTTTCCAACGGCGAGGTGCGCAGATCTTCAGGCGGCCGCACGATGCTGTGGCCGCTCAGCAGAATGCCGTCCTCGAAGTCGCGCCCCCTGTGTCCTCCGGAAGGGCCGCACAGGATGCAAGGCTGGAAGCAATGGAACGGCAGATAGCCGAGATGAATAGACGGACGGACGTTGGCTCGGCCACACCCTCTTTCTCACTCACATCACCCTTCACTCCACGGGTGATGAGCGTCGAGATTCCCCGGGACTGCAGGCCCCCGGGCAACTTGGTGTACGATGGGGCTGGCGATCCCAAGGCCCATCTGATAAGCTACCAAGGGAACCTGTCCATGCTGGGAGCATCAGACGAGGCCATCTGCAGATTGTTCTTCAGCACCCTCAGGGGGCCGGCGCAAGAATGGTTCGGCCAGTTGAGGCCGGGCACCATCGACTCATATGAACAGCTCTCCCGGCAGTTCATGGCTCCGTTTGCTGCCAGTACCACCCCCAGGAAGGACGTCACGGCTCTCGCCCACATCAAACAAGGGCGGGACGAACCGCTGGCTAGGTTCCTGGTAAGGTGGAGGGACGAGGTCCTGCAGGTCGATGACCTGGACGAACGTCTGACCACAAACATGTTCACCAGTGCGCTGGCCACAGGGGATCTGTACCGGGACCTAAGGAGGAACCCCGGCACCAGCTACACCGAGGTTCTGGCTCGGGCCCAGAAGTATGCCTCCATTGAGGAGGAGATCAGGCAGCGGGACGGAGTTCCCGCGGCCCACCCACGAAAGATGGCGGACAGGCTCGGACCCAGATCGGGACCCGGGCCCTCCCCCCCAAACAAAAAGAAGAAGGTGGACGGAGCGATGGTCCCTTGGAAGGCTCCGTCCGGGGACATCCAAACGCGGCCGGACGACCGCTATATCCCATTGGCCTATCCAGTGAGCCAAATCTTCGAGGCCATCAAGGACAAGGGCCTCCTGATGGAACCCCAAGATATGAAGAAGCATATGGGGCTTGACCAATCGGCCTACTGTGAATACCATCAGAGGGCCGGCCACCTGACGGACAATTGCAGCCAACTAAAGAAAGCAATCGACGAGCTGATCCGTCAGGGGTACTTGGGCGAGTTCACCCAGCTGCTGAACAAAAACAGCCAGCAGAAGCCGAACCCAAGGCCCCGGACATGGCGCCGCGACGACCGGCGCGAGGCAGAGCCCCAGGATGTGGATTATCGAAGTGCGGATAAACGCCCAGAGGGATCCCTTGGCCCGAAGGGCAAAAAGAAGAAGCTGGAGATCAAGGTGATCTTCGGGGGCGCTGAGACAGGGGACACGCCCGCTGAGCGGAAAAAAATTGAGAGATCACTCTATGTGGGTTCCGTATCAGCACCCCCCACCAAGCGCAACAAAATCGAGGCAATCACCTTCGGCCCCGCCGATCTGCCGATGTCACCAGCGCCGCACAGAGACGAGCTGGTGATCAGCATGGACGTAAACGATGCCATCGTCCGCCGCGTCCTTGTCGATACCGGGAGCAGTGTGAACGTCCTCTACTGGGAGGCTTTCGAGGGAATAAAGCTCAAGAAGGACATGCTGCACCCTCTGCGTACCCCGCTGTCCGGCTTTACTGGGGATTGCATTGACGCTGAGGGCACCATCATCTTGCCGGTAGAGATCGGCGACGGCCCTCACACCGCCCGGATCGGGATGACGTTCGTCGTGGTCCGCCTAAAATGCACCCACAACGCCATTTTGGGCTGACCCGGCTTGGAAGACTTGGGGGCCATATGCTCCGTACGGCACTCATGCATCAAATTCCCCACCGACACTGGAGTGGGGGTAGCACGTACGGACCCGCATATGGCCAGGGCCTGCTACACGAAGGCCATGGAGAAGCTCAACGAGCGGGAAGCTCGGGTCAACAGCATCTCCGAGAAGGCCAAACAGGCCGACTTGGACGCTCATCTGGAACCAGCAACTCTGCTGGAAGAAATCGAGCTCGACGACCCGACGGACAGGAGGGTGTCCATCGGTGCAGATCTAGAGCCGGAAATCAGAGCGGGGGTCATAGCCGTCCTCCGAAGGTTCAGGATCTTGTTCGCCAGAGGGCCGGAGGACATGCCGGGCATCGACCCCAACCTCATATGCCATAGACTCGCCGTGCGGTCGGACGCCAAGCCCGTACAACAAAAGAAAAGATATATGGCGGCCGACCGACGCGATTTCATCAGGAAGGAGACAGCAACTCTCCTCAGCATTAAACACATCCGGCCGGTCATCCACGTGGAGTGGCTGCTAGCCCCGAAGGGCGACACTTGGCGGATGTGCGTCGATTACTCAGACCTCAACAAAGCTTGTCCGATGGATCCTTACCCTGTTCCGAGGATCGACTTGCTGGTGGATGAGACGGCAGGCCGCGAGCTGCTCAGCTTCATGGACGCATTCAGGGGCTACCATCAGGTGTTCATGCACCCCGATGATGCCGAAAAAACGGCGTTCGTTACGGCGGACGGCGTGTACTGCTACATCGTCATGCCGTTCGGCCTGAGGAACGCCATGGCTACTTTTCAGAGGATGATTGGGATGTTGTTCAAAGACGTACTTGGGAAGACAATGGAAGCTTACGTGGATGACATCCTGATCAAGAGCAAGAGAAAGGAGGACCATGTCCGGGACATGGAGAGGGTCTTCAGCATCATGGAGAGGGCCAGCATGAGGCTTAATCCGAAGAAGTGTGCCTTCGCCGTCAGGGGCGGCAAGTTCCTCGGCTACATGATGAGCGAGCGGGGGATCGAGCCTAACCCGGAGAAGGTGAAGGCAATTATGGACATGGAGGCCCCAAAGAACCTAAAAGACGTGCAGCGGCTCACCGGGCGTCTGGCGGCCCTGAGCAGATTCTTATCCAAGCTGGCTGATGAGGCGATTCCCTTTTTCCAGATCATGAAGAAGGCCAATCCCTTTGAATGGACCCCGGAGTGCCAGGCTGCTTTCGAAGGTTTCAAGGTATATCTCTCCTCTCCGCTCGTCCTCACCAAAGCAGATCCCGGGGAGAGATTGTACATGTATTTGGCAGTAGCCGATCTGGCCGTGAGTGCCGTGCTGCTGAAGGAGTCTGAAGG